AGGCCAGCCTGGGCTACCAAGTGAGATCCAGGAAAGGCGCAAAGCTACACAAGAGAAACCCTGTCTCGGAAAAACCAAAAAAAAAAAAAAAAAAATCTCCCTTCTAAAGCCTAAGGATTCCTCCAAAGACTTTTTATGAACTCTTTTTTTCTCTGGACACACAAGCTATGTGACCTCGGCCAAGTTACTTAACCAATCTGAATCTTGGTTTCCTCCAAAAATGAGCTGTATGGGGGCCCATCATGGTCCCTATTTTCACACTGAAGATGCCCATCCTTAAATGTCGCTGGCATAGGGACTACAATGTCACATGTTCACCAGATTCACGTTAGGATACTCTCCCTCAAGATGGCCTGGACACCCTTTTGTCACCAGATCTTTGACAAAAGGGCTCCATAATGTCTCAGATGAACTTTATCTCCTTAGATCTATAGGGCAACCTAAACATGAATTTGTGACTTTGTTTACAGCTGACACCACCTTATTTAATTTTTTATGCCAGTATAGCAGGACAGAACTAGTAAAACGATGCATATGTCAGATCTGTGGGTTATTTCAATGAAGTATTTCTAACAGATTTATTGTCAGAGTTCCTGAATGAATATCTATGAAAAGACGTCCCTGAGGTATCACGTTAAGAATGGGAGAAAAAGGCAGGCGGACTTAAAGTGGAATCTGAAGTGCCTAATTAGCTACCTGTATAGTCACATTTAAAGAGTTTCCTAGCCTCATAATGCCTTGGTTTCCTCCTGGTAAAATCCAATATAATAATATCTGCCTCACATGGTTGTGGAGAGTACCCTGTGGGCTTAAATTCTTCGCCTACCACACCACATGAACACATTGTATGAATGCAGTAAACACTCTGCACTCCTTACCAGTAACATTGTTACGCGATCATTATTAAATATAACGACAAGCAATTATTCATTCACACGAGGAATCTGAAGCATCACTAAAGAGATATTTCTGGCCAAGAGTGGACTGTGTATCTTATTCACGGAAATAACCACCCCCCACCCAAAAAAAAAGGACAGAAATTTCTTCTCACAGCACAGAAACGAAATAGTACATGAATGAAGAAATGCTGAGATGTGTCCCCATAGGGCTCAAAAAAAATGCCAGACAGGAGAAAAAGGCTCTGTTCGGAGCAGAGCGACCTTCCCACACAGTCCATCATGACTGAGTGACGCATCTCAGGGACTCAGTTTCCCAAGCTGCCAGCGGTCAGGCACCGTGAGCTTTCCTGGGAGCCCCGCTGAGACTGAAGCGGAAGGAAAACCTTCATTGTCTGCCCGGTAGCACAAGACCCAAAGCCCTGCGCTATTCTGTAAGGTGGAGTGACAGACAGGCCAGGCCTTTAGCAGATGGCCACATAGGGAGCTGGGGGAGGGGCAGAAGTCCAGGCTAGAGCAACGCCCTTCATAGACATGATCTTCAATCTCCAGCACGGGTCATAGCCACCCTCGGGACAGCCGCTGTGGCCCACGTGGACACTGGCGGGTTTCCAGTGGTTTCTCTTAAAGAAGGACATTGTCCCTTCCTCTGTAGGCGGGGACAGGAAATAAAAGCGAGTTTTCGGCGCTCTGTCATGAGTGGCTGCCAGGTATCCACTCTAGGGCTCTATCAGGATGAGTTATTTCAAGCGTCTTCTGACATGTTTTAAAGAATACCCTCGAGTGACAGGCTGGATCTCTGCGGCTTCAGACTAGAGTAAAGGAGCCTCCAATCCCAGTGTGCCCGAGTCTCGTCTCGGTAGCTTGATTTCCCTTCTTTCTCTTCCTACTGTTTCCGCAAAAGGGGGCGGGTGGGGGGGGGGGCACCTTCTGCAGACCTCCGCAGTTCAGACACAGCGTCACACGGAAGAGGGCCACCGTGTTACAAAAGCAAGGTGCTGGTCCTTCCGCCTGCTCCGACAAGGAACAAAGGGAAGCCGAGAGAGGACTTCCGGCAGGAGCCATCCTAATCGTCCTCCTGAGGTCCCACACGGAAGGCCTCGGCTCTCACCTTGCACAGACAGACTTTATTTCTCACTAGGACCCCTTCCGCAGACAGTGATACTCCAGTGGTCAAAAACCTGCCCCTCACTCCCGCCGAAGTTCTACCCGTTCTCAAAGTCTTCCCAGACCCCCCCACCCCCCATCTCCCGCTGCCTAAGTGCTATCTCAGATGCCCTGCTCTGTCCCCATAAGTCCCCCTATGTTTACTTGACGCCCAAATCAGCGCCCAGCGCAAAGGGCTGGCCCCATTTGTAAAAGTGGAACCAGATCACGTCTTCACGGGGAGCTCGTGAGGACCAGGTTTAGATGCCATTGAGGCAGCTAACGCCTGGTGCTTTAACAAGACTTGCTCATAGAGACCTGCTCACATGTTTCCCCGTAAAGCAAAGCCCCCCTCAGAGCACGTCATTTGATAGAAAACGAACATGAGGTTATAACTATGGGGAGGGTTTTGAGTAGACGGCTTTGGTGGAGGTGACTTTTGAAAAAACATTGCCCCTCACAGCACTGTAGGGCAGAAGCAGGATGGCTATGAGTTCCAGGCTAGTGTGAGCTACAGAGTCGAACCTTGTGTTCTCCCCCTCACCCACCCACCCCTGCCCCACCTCGCCTCTCCAAAAGAAAAACCCACTACAGTTCAGCAGTTCAGCTGTTTATCAGTTGAACCATGAATATCATATGTAATTTCCTTCACGTGTTGGGTAATCGTCCAGTCCTGGGTTTCTGTGGAAATTTGTGTTAAAGCAGAAATCACTGGAACGCTAACAGTTTGCTCTGGTTTCTCCCTTGAAATTCTTTTGTAAGGTTGGTTACTGAGGAGGCCAAGGGGGGGGGGGGGGGGCGCTGCTGTGGAGGTCTCCGCAGCTGAAGGCAGGCTCCATTACCTTCGCTGCCCTGTGTGGCTTTCAATGGGTTGCTTGAACATTGTCAAGGTGGGCTGTGCCTGAGACCCGTGATTGTAGGTGAATCTCGGTTTCTTCATTTTGTTTGTGTGAATTTAACAGTACATTTACTAAAACAGGCATGCTTTACTTGTGCAATTTATTTACTCTCTCTGTGTGTGTATTTAGATGTTCAAAAAAAGTTGGAATACCACCTGGGTATTAAATGCCATTAGGGAATATTACTGATTTTGTTAGGTGACGATATCTTTTTAAGTCATCACACAAGTTGAGCATCACTAAGGTGAAAATAAAAAAAATCTGAAATAAGGCAAAATCTGAAACTTTATTTTGTTTTTTCACATTTTTTCATCGTGGGGAGACGGGGTGTATGCCATGCCGTGTTTATGGAGGTCAGAGGAAATTTGCCAAAGCTGATTCTCTCCTTCCACCTTGCGGGTCACTGGGATTGAACTCATCAGTTCATCACCAGCTGAGCCATCTCGATGGCCCAGAATCTGAAACTTTTTGAGTATTAACATAACCTTAAATTGAAGATTCCACACCAAGGAAATTTGTTTCATGCACAGAATTACTAAAAATACTGTGTATTATTACCTTCTGCTATATATATATGAATTGTATATGAAATATTAATGATTTAGACTTGGACTCCATTATCAACATATATCATTATGTATATGCAAATATTCCAACCTAAAATATCTGAAATTTAAAAATATTTCTGCCTCAAGCAATTTAAGTAAGGGATAGATAGATACTCAGTGCACATGTGAACGTATGTTCTGCATATTCGGATGTATGTCCTTATCTGATAGAGAGGGTGACCCATTTGTAAGTAAAACAAATACAAATATTTCTATCTCTCCAGAAAACAGTGACTACAGGCGAGGACAGAGGGTGACGGGTGGAATAAGATCGGGAAACGGTTGAAGAAGCTGAGTGACGGGAATGTGGAAGAACACAAGTTTACTTTTGGTTTTTGTGTTTGGTTCAAAAATTTTCAAGTTGAAGGATTTTTTAAACAGAACTGGTAAGGTGGGTTCAGCGGGGAAAGACGTCACCAAGTCTGCGGACCTGAGTGTGACTCCTGGGATCCACTCACCAGGAGGAAAGAACTGACTCCCATAAGATGTCCTCAGACCTCTACACACACACACCGTAGCACATGCACTGACTGCCCATCCCCAACAAACAATTTTTTAAGAAATTCAGTTTTTAAACAATGGGGTCTTTTATAGGTATCATCGGTAGTA